CTGAACCGTGCTGTGAGCCCGACGGAAGGACGGACCCCACCGTCCCTGGCCTGCTTGGTGAGCACTGGTCACAAAGCCCCAGCCAAGAGACGACGCGTCCGTGAACACATCGAGCGAGGGCTCGGGAAGGCGCCAAGGCACCGAACCCCGAAAAGCCCGAAGAGGAAGCCGGTGATGCAGCAACCGACATAAGACCCCCCGGAGGACGAACCCAACGTTCGCGAGAGAGGCGGAAAGGACGTCCCTGAAGGAACCAAAACAGACGCCGAAGTCAAACCCGACCCGGCGGGTAGACTAGCACGGCGAAGTTCAGACTCCTGCACAACCGCTTGAGCATCCGCCGAGTGACCCGGGACCCCTTCAGAAACAGCTGATGGCGGTCCCGCAGCCGCCGCAACGCCTCTGGAGGGAGAGACAAGGAAGCGGTCCGAGAATCCCAAACAAGACCCAACCAGGTCCAAACCTGGGACGGAACCAGATGGGACTTCCTCCAGTTCACCAGGAACCCGAACCTGGTGAGCTGGGAAAGAACCATATCCCTGGAGAGCAGACAAGCTGACCGACTGGGAGCCCACACTAGCCATTCGTCGAGGTAGGCCAAAACCCGAATCCCTAGAAGACGCAGATGGGTCACCATAACCCGGGTCAGACGCTTGAAAACGCGAGGTGCCAGATTCAAGCCAAAAGGTAGGCATCGAAAACGGTAAGCGTGACGCCCCATTATGAAACCTAACCAGTCCCTGAACCCCGGATGAATAGGAACGTGCCAATACGCGTCCTTGAGGTCCAGGGACACCATCCAGACACCTGGCTCCAACAGAAGCCGGACCTGAGACAGTAGTCATCCAAAAGGAGGGGCAAGGAATCCAGGGGTTCAGACGGGACAAGTCCAGAATGAACCTCAGATCCGCACAGTCCCATTTCGGCACTGGAAACAGGCAGGAAACCCACCTGAGGGACGTAGTCATTTCGACCACTCCCAAGCGCACCCACTCCAAGACGACTTGACGAAGCGCAGAAGAAACCTGCCCAGTTAGCCCCAAACCCCCCAAAGGAGGACGAGTCGCCCAACGCCACCGCAGGCCGGATGATACGACCGAAAAGGCCCACAAATCGTGGGAGCAAGCGTGGGCAAACAGAGCGAGCCTCCCACCCATCGCTCCGTCAACGGGGCAAACCGCGAAAGTCCGACGCCCCTTACGAGAACCCAACCGTCAAACAGGGCGATCACTGCACCGACCAGACGACGCTGGCCCCGAAGGGAACAACGGCTCAGAAACTGGCACCAATAGCCCACCTCGACCAGCGGAACCCGGAAGCCTGGCACGACCCCTCCGAAACTGCCGAGAACGACCGCTCAGGAGAATCAACAAGTCCGCCATAGGACGACAACTAGACGAAGCCGCATGCAGAAACTGAGAGACCACAGTCTCTGCAAACAGCAACGGACAAAACCGAGACGAAAACCTAAGAGCCAAACCAAGCGGATTCCAAAGAGAGGGCAAGCACAGCCTGACGGCACGCGAGGCGAGAAGCAGAAAACAGAGACACCGCTTCCTTCAGGATAGGCGCAAAGAGCTTCAACAGTGCAGCCGACGCCCTAGCTGCCGAAGACAGCTCCCCGGACGAAGGCCCTTCACTCAACGCTCCCACATCCTCCTCACGCCAAGCAGAAGAGAGCTCGAGAAGGGAAAAGAAACGCAAGACCGAAGCCAAATGCCCACGGGAGCACAACTCCTCCGCAACCAATGAAGCCGAAAGCTGAGGAACCTGCACGTGAAGCTGGGAAAGGCCAACATCCCGAGAAAGCACTGGAGCGAATAAGCACGAATTAAGGTGCTCAAACTCGCTCCCCAGGTAAACCTGCATAAAAGTAGCAGTTTCCCGCCAATCAAGCGTGCGGGTCCGACAGAACCCATGCCACGCCCCCAACGAAAAGAAACGGCAGTCTGCCAGCCAGGAAGACTCCAGAACCTCCAAACGCACCCAAAAACGGGAAGAAGAACCGAACTCAAACGAGGACGGATCCATTGGGGAGGCATAACCCGGGTCTCGCAAGAGGTATGCAGCAAGAGCTTCCCGAGCCACCTTCGCGGAGATACGGGAAGTAGCAAACCCCTGGAAAGACGGAGCCGAGGTACCCAAAGGCGCCCGGAACCGAACCCAAATCATACTCATACAGGGAAAGGGGGGGTAAGAAAACCCCTCCCCCAGCAACAATAAACCCCGCGGGGAAGGCAAAAGCACCCAAGCGGGGTCACAGGGGGCCCAAGGCCCCCAGGTCGACTCCTCTCCAGCCCCAGGATCCCCTACGTCGGGACCCGGGGCAGAGCCGTCCTCCAAACCCTCTACCCTGAAGAAAAGGTAGAGTCCAAGGGAAAGGCAGACAAGAAGGGGGTCTGCTGGTGGGACCCAGAAGCCTCGGCAGGAGGAACCGGCTCAAATGCCTCCGTCCCCGACCCAGATGGGGCAGCCCCCAAAGCACCCGAGTCTCACTACCAACTAAACCCTGTGCCAAGGCCGAAACCCGCATACGTTTTAGAGCCGGACACAGGGGGGGAGGTGCAGGAAGAACCACAGGGGAAGGACCAGAGGGCGCGGCTGGAGCCAAAGCCATAGCGACCAACGCCCCCAGGTCAGGGTCCCTAAAGCCAAAACGGGGCAGCCTCGGGGCATCCGGGTGGGAAACCAACCTAGCGCGTTGCAATAACCTAAACCTAACATGCAACGCTGATGCTGCCTGTACCCTAATAGGAACATCCTCAGAGTAAAACTGGAGCACAAGGAGAGAATATGACTCGCAAGACTCCGGGTCAAAGGTGTCATTGACCCAACAGGCAGCATGACGGAGGCAAAACAGGTGACTGTCACCCTGAGACAAAGGCACACTGCAACCTTCAACCCGCACAAGGCAGGCTGGAACTCGGGAGACGCATCCATGGGTACCCGAGCCCCGACAGGGGTTTCCAGGGCCTGTAGGTTAACAACTACGGGAAGCCCGGGCAAGGTGTTGCTAACCAGTTAAGAAACCCAAACAAAACAAGGGTAAATGATAATACTGAAAACCCCTGGGACGTGTACAAGCACGGGGGCCTAGCAGAGGGCCACCAAAACAATACCAGGGGAACTATGGGCCCACGAGGCAGAACCTCCACCAGGCAAACAAAAACAAAACAAAAGAAAAACCCCGCAAAAGTACACCGTCCCCAGAGCAACAGGAACCGGTCGCCGCTTAGGTGGCATGCCGCGCAACACCTTGATGCCCTAACCAGCACAATACCACTCCCTACCCATTCCAAACAAGGGCCCCAAGCCCCAGCTGGCCCCAAGGGCGAGGCAAATACCGAGCAGCAAGAACCCCTATGGGAGCGGTTCCCGAACTCCCCAGAGAAGATAACCCTGACACGCAAGGGCAGTACTCACAGGACGCCTAGGGAAGGAAGCCCCTAGGCGCATGCAGCCCCGGCACTGATGAAGTCTCCTGACCACCGCACACCACACAAAAACAGCAGAGAACGCCACATGAGGCAAACACCGCCAAGGAATTTAAGGCCAGAGAAGCGTCTATCCCGGTTGACACTAGCTTGGGAACTGAAGGCAGCCGGCGTGGTGAGGTCCGGGCTCCCCCGCTCCCCCTACAGGGGAGGGGAGGGCTGCGCGGATGACCGGCGTGGCAGTAAATTGATTGTTTGATTGTTTTCCTTGGGATTGTAGGGAGTTTTCTACCTCTCTGTTCGGTTTTTGTTGTAGTTTCTTACCATGTGGGGTTTGTTTTGTTACGCCTACCTTTCTGGGTGCCTAACCCCAGTCGATGGCAGATAAGGAAAACCCCCAACCATATGAGGTTTTCCAGGGCCATTGCTCCCTGAAACCTCTCTGAAGGGGCCAGGTTCTGGCGCTGGTCCCTGGTAGGTCTGAACTCCATAGCTAATGTCCCGGTCTAACATAACATACATTAGCCCGATAAGCTCTAGGGAGCCGTAGGGGCTCCCACAGATAAAACAGTTGAAATAATTTGAAAAACGGACAAATGCCATAAAGGTTCATTCAGTGTTTGTCAGGTAGGCTGCTCCATTATGACAATCTTTGTGTTTCAAATGTGTTCCATTTGTTTTGTATTTTTCATTTATTTCTCTATAATGGAGCAGCCTACCCGAGAAACATTGAACGAATCTTTACGGTATTTGTCCGTTTTTCAAATTATTTCAACTTTTCTTTATTTTATTTTTTTTTATATTTTTTTTTTAAGAAACATAGAGTAGCCCACCTGCCAAACACCAAACGAACCTTTTTGACATTTGTTCAGTTTTTCAATATTCTTAATTTTTTCATTTTTTTTTTTTTTAAGAAACGTGGAGCAGCCTACCTGACAAACACTGAACAAACTTTTTTGTCATTTGTTCTTTCTTTAAAAAAATTAATTTAGTTTTTCTACAAAAAAGTCAATGCTTTGCAACATTCCAGGATCAATAGCATCTTTAAACAAAGAAAAATAATTTATTTGCATTGACGGAGGCGTCTGAGAATGTGCGAGAAGCAGCCCGCAATCCCACAGTGTGGTGTTGACATTATTCAAATGAGCGGTTGCCTAACGAGACAAATTGTCGGCGATTGGGGCATTCGTTACCCAAATTGGTCGCCATTTGAGCCGGTCATCACTCGAAGTTCTACTGTACTGTATTTCATAAGATTCAATACTGGGTTTTTATTTGAAGTGCTAGTGCACTGCTTTTGATATAACAAATTTAACAGATTGAGTTCAGTTCCATGTAGATTGAGTGTATGGTAGATTTTTTTTTTAAGTATAGATCCTTTGAGATGGGGTAATTGCAGATTGAGCATAGGTAACTCATTTTTCAAACATCAACAAATAAATGTATATTTTATTCAAGAAAATGTCAAGTAACTTCAGTAAAGTATACACACATGCAAATTTAGCCCCATGCATGCACACACACATACATGCATGCGGATGTTTTATTTTGTTTTTAATTATTCAGGCAAGAAAACTGATCAATGAATTAAAACCGGGCAAAATAGTGGTGCCAGACGTGTACCTGCATCCCCCGAGTAACGCACCACACCGCACAGATCTCATGCTCAATTTGGTAAGTGTTGCTCATGTTTCAGAAAACTCTGGTGCATTTATCTCTGCTTTATGAATACCCTTCTATAATTTATAATTACCTAAACAGTTGTACTGTATAGCTAAAAATTTGTATTAATGTAATCGTAGGGATAGTTTATGTAAATAATAATGATTAACTTTGGTGTCAAGAGTGCAGTTGAGTAGAGATATGGCATATATTTCTGAGCTATTACATTTAGCTGCTCCCTAAATTAATACCCGCGGTGTCCAATAGGACGGGATCACACATCTTTATTACTACTTCTTCCACTGCCATGTCTGTGGCTACTTGGCTACTTTCACCCCTCACCTGTTCTTCAGCCTATACTTTCACCACATCTATATCTTCCCAGTGATATTGGCTATAATATTTCTTGAGATGGAATTTATTCTAGACGATTGTTTAAATTTCTCCACCATCAAGTACTTGACCTCATAATGCTGGTGTCAAATGTATAGTAAAAACTTTGCATAACGGAGCCAGAGTTCTATAGTAGCTCTTGAGCAAATGTGACACTCAAATGTTATAGAAATATTTCCTTATATAATGTGCATTTATTCAATATTATACTTTTATCATTGGGTAAGAAATAACAATTAAACATTGTAGCAATAAAGAATTGCACAAAGCAAAATACAAAAAACAGCACTGTAATGCAGTTAGAAAGAAATACTGTATGTGTTGACTCGCAGGACGAAACGCCACTGACGTACAGTGAGTGTCAGGTACTGAGCCTGGGGATCCACCGCCGCTTGGAGACCATGAGTCTCTCCGCAGACTTGGCACTCTCCCTCAACCCCAGCACCATCAGGCCTGGGCTCAACACGGCAACAATTACTGCAGCACTTCACATCCAGGATAACAAATATGTTTTGAAGGTATTTGACAATGATTTTACATCCTCGTATGATGTACGAGGAGTGGGATGTACAAGGAGTGGGATGTACGATGAGTGGGATGTACGACGAGTGGGATGAACGAGGAGTGGAATGTACGACGAGTGGAATGTACGAGGAGCGAGATGTATGAGGAGATAACTAGAAGCATAGTGACACTGGTGATGGGGGCTCCAGATGCGAGCACGTGTAATACAATAAACAAGGCTGGTGAAGGTTGTTTTTGTAATTTTATAGTCATCATTGAGGTGAGATAGTGATACACACAGGCTTACTGATTATGAAAGGAAATGAAGGTGATGTGATTTACTATAGTTTACGATAATTCTCTGTTATTAAAGAACCCATCATCATCATTATTACCCCTGCTTCCCACTTCCGTAGGGGGTGAAGAAATGTTGTTTTGGATAAAAATAGAAAAGCAGTAGAGTAAATATTTGTAAGTTTTAATGCAGTACTACTGTACTGTATAGTACAGTACAGTCCTGTATATTCAAAATGGGATCTTAATATATTCCAAGTGCCATCCTAAAATATTCAATATGCCATCTTGGAACATTCAAAATACCATCTTACAATATTCAAAATACCATCATACAGGTGGAAATTTTGGACATTGCTGTTAAAGTTCAACTATTGAATGTTCTGCTGTTTAAATAGATTCTGATTGTTGTATTTTGATTTGAATAAAGAAACTGATTAAGAGTGTGTGTATAATAAGTATTGAGTTATTTTACTGCAAGTGTTGGTAGATATTTATTTTTCAGTCTTGTGTGATGTCTCAAATACTGTGCCATCTTCTTATTAGGCTTTAGCCAGCATTACTTATTTTTGCCTAGTAAACATTTTAGTGAGAATTAGTGGTAGGGCAGAGTGTTTTTGTTAAGATTGTTTGCTTGATTAGTAATATGATTGTCATCATATCTGCAAGAAAAATATTGTATGATAATTTTGCAAATTTCAGCCCTTGGAAGATAGCGATGAAGAAGGCTCCAACAAGTTGCCACGCTGTTACCCATATGGCAACTTGAACGTAGATGACTTGGTGCAGCGTTTGGCTCAGGCTGGCCTTACAGATGCCAGGGTAGAGGAACTAACAGGGGTGTACATCATAACGCTGGTTGGTAACCCATATTTCTTCACACCATTTTGAGTGTTAACATGATCAATCCTAAATTTTGTGGGAGACTCTTGTGGTTCCATGAAGCTATACACTAAGATAGTTCCCATCTACTAGGCCACATGAGCAGTGGGGTTGTATAGTCCTACAAGGAACCAGAGTCAGAACCTAACCCTATGACAGAGGTGCAGGAAAGGGTGACAGTTTGCCACCTCATCGGGCAACCCATACTCACACTAGGCTGTTTAAAGCAGCAGCTGTCCTGCCCAGGCACAGTCATCAATTTTAGCATACAGTATTGTAAATAAAAAAATTGGTTTGCTCTCATATGTAAATTAATATTATACATAAAATTTCTATGTATAGTTATGCATAGGTTAGATTAGGTGTTTAGGGTCTGTTGGCAATTACAATATTTGTTGGTGTTGTTGATTTAAGGGCGACGACGATCGTGGGATCGGATGCGCCCCGGCGTACCCATTACGGGTTAATCGCAAAGCCCGGAAAGCTGAAACGCCAAGCCAAATCGCGAAACAAGTGACACCAATCACTGGAAACTAATATGCCATATGGCAAAGAAACACAGACAGGCAGATGATTGGGGAGCCCCAGGAGTCCCTCAGGGTGACAAGTGCCGGCCCAGCCCCACACAGAGAACACTGGGTAGCAAAGCCAAAAACTTAGCCCCCAACTAAAATGCAAAAGTCATCCAGTGTCTCCCGGCAGAGCAGAAGACAACCGCCCACCACGACTCAGGGCACACCAGGAGCCCACCAAGACCCGCCAACCCCTGGCACCTCTTGGCCAAGCCGGCGCCGTACATCGTCACCCTGCCGGGAGAACCAGCCAGAACATGTAAAAAAAAAATCTATCGACAATCATGTGACCCAAGGCGATATGTACATCAGGCATCGTTCAACCGGACCATTGAATAGGGATGCCATACGGCAGTAGCAAAAGCTAAAACGCGAAAACAGAACGTGATCCGGCGGCTCCCAGGCAGAGGAGTTGTCCAGACGTCCGCTCGTCGTCCAGGTTTAACCAGGAGTCTTACAGTATTTGTATATGAAGTACGTGGGTGAAGCATTTATAGAATTGTGGAACGAATAGAGGATGTGAGCAAAGCATTTGTTCTGGAAGTGTTCGGATATCATCAGTTGTGAGTCATGTGTAAACTGCTTTTCATTCATAAACAGTGGATTTGGAGGCTGGATTAACGTGCTTGGATCTTTGTATGCGAGGATGGGCTGCACCAGGGAAAGGCAACCAGAAAGTCAGTGAGTCAAAACTAACCTCTGCTAGTTTCAAGAGACACCAAAGACTCAAAACCTACCTAATCAACTCCTCCTAACTATGTAAACAAATGATTGAATTCACTTTCAACTGGCGTGAGCTCATTCCCCCTACTCATTTGGGGGAGGAGAAAAGAAGTTGCTTTTACTCCCTGCCAGGGTCTGAGCTGTCAATCCTATCACTGATGCAGTGATTCCCAGGACACCTCTCCTTTTGGTAGGCTCCTCTTAACACTTTCGCTCACCCCGCGCGCCACCCCTCGACAGGGCGATATGGGCCCCAGAGTGTCACGGAAGCGCGCGTTAATTCCGAAAAGTGTATACTCTCTTCAACTTTGTCACCTCAATTCTCCTTCTACGAGATTAAATTTGGTATCATTGTGTTCGCAATAAAATTCTCTACAGCACTAAATGCATATAAACTCCAAAAGCCCGGCTAATTACCCGCAGCAAACAGAGAAAGTGCGAACGAGTTACCCGGGAGCGCGCAAACGGGATAAAATGTTTTCACTATTTTCACTCTGGTCACCTCAATTTTTGTCCTAGGTCTTTCATTTTGGTCTCAATGGGTTCGTAATAAAATTCTCTAGAGGAACATTAGCCTATAAAAAAAAAACCTGGTCACGCTCCAACCGCCGACGAGTTGAAGACGGGCCACGTGTTAGCCGTGAGTGAGTGCTCAGAGGCCTTCCTGCTACACTCCCAATTCCTACCCTTTTCAAGCCTTTCTTTCGCAATTTTCTTCCTGGAAGGGCCTTGTTCATGATTACTATCCATCGTGGAGTAAGCGTAGATAGTTTCTAAAGCCGCAGTAAGAAATATAGCCACGGAAAATAGCCGAAATGTTCACACGTTTGAGATGCGAGGGGAAGCGACATTGGTCACAACAGTGGAGCAAAGACAATGGGCCCACGGCGTGTGCCAAGCAGCCTGAGGGGGACGAGGCTCAACAAAGAAAATGGGAAGACATCGGCGCACATTTTAAAACCAGTCCCAAAAAAATCGGATAAAAACCTGATTTTTGGCGAATTTTTAAAGTGGATGACGCAATGCTGCGTCATCCCCGGCATTACCGCCAGTAAACGGATGACGCAATGCTGCGTCATCCCCGAGCGAAAGTGTTAAGTAGTGTGGTGTTTGCCCTTGGTGGCTGTTCCTGTACACTGTGCCAGGCATGAGCCTCACTTTGTGAATGCTTGGAGCTGTAGGTGCTCAGGGTTACCTTCCCTATGTGCTCCTTAGCAATGCTGTTGCATTGCCAGAGTTATCTTCTGTGGAGTATTTGGGAGTCACTCCCTCAGGAGGACCTCAGTGGTCCTCCTCGCTCATGGTGGTTCTCACCCTGAGTGAGTCAGGAAGCTTATGGCTTCTGTCTTGTCTCCGGTCAGGCGTGACTTTGGCTTGTGGGGCGCACTGGTGGTTCATGGGCTTGCCTTCAGCACACCAAGGCTGGCCTTCACAGCTGTGTAACTCAGGTTTTGTCGGCTTACTTTTAGGTCCAGCATAGTGTCCCCAGTGGTCGAGTGTCTTGCTTGGTTTACCCCTTAGGCCCCGGAAGTCCCCTGCAGTTTCAGTGATCCTGTGGATATCATCCCCCCTCTTCCCAAAAATCTGCTATTGCTTCATGGGAGTTTGAGGGTTGTTTATTATCCGTGTCATGCAAAGACAGTCACTCGCTTTGTCTCTGCTACTCTGCCTGCTGGGTTGGTGACACCTTCAGCCCTGAGTCTTGTGAGGTTTGCATTTTCCATGTGACTTCTTTCTGACCCAACTGATGAGGTTGGGGTTTACCAGGCAGTGACTGTTTTGCATATTCATTTTGCAAGGTTGCAGCTGTCTAGGTTATGTGCCTGGTTGCATACCCCAGACCTGCTCCATTTGGTGTTTTTGGACTCGGAATTGGAGGTAATGGTGAATTCCACTCTGGCGCCATCTGCACCTCTTCTTCCTTTTCCTTCAGGCTGGGTTTAGCTTGGGATGTGGCTTGGCTATCTCTGGGGAGTTGTCCCTTCCAAATTGGGTGTGGAGGCAGTTGAGCTGGCTGGTTCCACCGAGGCTTCTGAGTTTTCCTTTCTGCCAGCCCCTCCTTCCTTTGAAGCCTTGGACTCTGCTTTATCTATCCCGGGCAGTGGGCATGATGCTGGCTCTGGCCCGGGGGCCCCTCAAGTGAGGTTTCCGAGGCATGTGGAGGGACCTGTCTGAGATGGGCCCTTGTATCCCTTTTGACAAAATGGATCCTGATTACCTCAGAGGAGGTCTCCATTTGCAGGGGGAGGTGTTTTTGTATCCTCCCTCCCTCTCTGTACACGTTTAAGTGTGGCTTTCTGCAGGGTTCAGTTACACATGCCTTTTGGTCCATTGGGATCATCCTTTCCGGAGGTTGCTTTCCTCTTGGGTCCCCATCCTGTGGTGGCTCAGGAGATGCTATTTACATACCTGCTGCAGGACCCAGATTACGCCTCCTTGATGTACCTGGCCTCTTTTGAGTTTGGGCTCTCTCTCGGCTGGCAGGCAGTCCTTTGTTCATGCTTTCTGCTTTGCACAGCTTTCATTGTACCTGCACACTCTAGTGGTGAGAAGTGTTGACCATGCTGCAGGTCTTTCTGGGGGCCTTCCTTTTGCACTCCTCAATGACTACCCATTTGCTTCAGCACTTTCTTGGGATGTGGATCTCGTGTAGCTTCCTTTGTTGTTATTGGCGGCGCTTGTGGCCAGCAGTGGTTTGTTTTGTTTTTTTGTTTTGCTGACTTTTGTTGACTTTCTGGGGTGCCTTTCCCAATTGGTGGCATAAATGAATAACCAAATCAATTAAGGGCATCTCTCTCTGCAACTCTGTGAGGGGGGGGGACCAGGTTCTGACTCTGGTTCCTGGTAGGCCAATAAAACTTCACGGCTGATGGAACCTAGTACAGTAATATGGCACTCTGTAAGAAATAGTAGTTTCAGGGAGCCCCCAGGGCTCATTGACATTTCATTACATTCAACACTGGTCTTTTTATTCTCTAAGCACTTTCAGGTACTAAGATATATATATTTCTTCGTATTATAGATGGAATCAAAAGCTTCAGGCCATGCAGTAATGTGTTAAGTGCTTCTACCTTTGCTTAGAATTTTACATTTAGGTTAAAAAAGTTTAAAGGGTGTTGAGATAATTTGTTACGTTTACTATTACAGGCAAATGCAGATGTGATAATAAAGATCAGCGATGCCTCCACACACATCATCTCCAGCAATGGTCAGCTGCGGGAGAAGCTTAGAGACATTCTGCTGGAATGTCTTGGCAGCTTCTAAGTCTGAATGCTGGCCAGCTGTGGAAGAAGTTTCAACTTCATGCTGGAGTGTCTCCTTGGCTCTTGACCACAATTAACATTTCATGTAAAATAATAATATAAATATGTTTAGGAATAATCAAGTTTTATTGATAAATCCAAAAAAATTTTTCTAGCATTTACAGTTTTACATGCACAATAAAAGTCTTTTGCAGTATAATGTTGTAATTTTTACCATTATGATATTGTATAATGTAATTGCATTTTTACAATTTATACATGATAATGTAACACCTCGGTTTTTCAATCTACTCTGTGATGGTGAGAAGTAAAGCAAAATAAAAGGAAGGAGGAGGGGAGGGGGGAGGGAAGAGAAGTGAGGGGACAGACATGGATAAGGTTGAGGGAGGAACTCGTCCGTCAGTTCGGACGAGTTCTCTCTCCTCTCCTCTTCCCAAACGAGGGGCGCATGGGAAGAGGAGAGGAGGAGGAGGAGGGAGAAGGGAGAGTAGGAGTAGGGAGAGTAGACTGATTATTATTCTGTCTGTGATGTTATACTGATGTTAATTTTACTTTACATATTTAAGCTGCCACCATCCTGCCAGCTCTGCCACATTTTCCACTTCTACTAAATAATGCGATAGGAAGCACCATTTACTGTATCTTTACTGAATAAATTTCTAAGTAAACCTAGCTGGTGAGGTGAGAGGAGGTGGCGCGCGAGCTACTCTCACCAGGCCACACCTTCCCTCACTCTCGTTCTTCATTCACCTTATGGCGCCCTCACTCTCGTTTCTCACTTTATCTCTACTCGAGTTTTCCATCTAGTTATTTCTAGCCTTAGCTCTTACTTGAGGGGATATTGATTCAAAAAGGAGGAATTGAACAAAAGTCAAGCTTGTTATTCTACACATAGACATTTATTGAATTGAACTATTTCAAATTATTTGATTTTCCAGCAATTGAATACTAGTTCTTACTATTTAACATTTTGCTATCCTATTATTTAACACAACACTGGCCTAATTAAAAGGGGGGGATCACCCACTCCATACACACCCACACCATACATGGCTAAATGGTTCAGACTCCACTAACTCCTCACCACTAAGACACACTTCTGGATTAAGACAACGCATAACTGAACTCTCATCTTCTCAACTCAGGTGGATGCACCCTGAGGGTGCCTGGCTGTCACCCGTCAGGGAGGGAAAGCTGGCTGGTCACCTTCTCCCTGTACAAGGCAGTCGCTAACTGAATCTACCAGCCACCCCCAACGTGGGGAAGCTGGGTCTCTTCCTCATGCCCTAATAAGGACAGGAACAGGCCAAGCTAGCCCTTATCATCCTAAGTACTGCCATGTCAGCAGATTGAAGCTAGTCAACACCTCACTCGTACCATCTTGCTCCTCACTAACACGCGTACACCCACCCACAATTACAACTCACAATTATACATGAAAGAGTGCAAAATATTAGCACTGTTACAATAATAGTCAATATGAAGTGTATTACTGTTTGTCTTACTATATCTAATGTTTTTAGACAAAGTTACACTGTGTAAAATTGGTCTTAAGTCACCCATATTCATATGGAAGCTCTACCTCATATTCATATACTGACTTCTAAGTGAATGACAGTACAGTACAGTATATAGAGATTGCAGTCATGAAACACTACAACACCATTAAACATAATGAAGGAAAAATTAAACATTGTCACCCTTTTCTGGGGGGAGCCCCGTCGACTCCCCGGAGCTTACTAGGCTGATATGCTGATGTCAGACTTGGGCATCAGTCATGTGTATGGAGTTCTGTGGGCCTACCGGGGACCACGAGCCAGAACCTGGCCTCCTCATTGAGGCATGGGGAGCAATGGCCTATAGACACCCCCCGTGTGGTTGGAAGCATTCTATGTCTGCCATCAACCGGGTCAGGCACCCAGAAAGGTAAGCATCCCAAAACAAGCTCCTATTCTGGTGAAAATATTGCTACCAAATGCCGAACAAGTGGATAGAACTCCCCTAAAAGAAACGAGCATGACGTCATGCGTCGCCGCACCGCTGTCTGCGCAGCTCCCCCCTCCCTGGGAGGGAGAAGGGGGAGCCCCAGACCCCCCCACACTGGCTATCCACCCGTCAGTTCTAAGTCTGATGAGGTCGTTTCTACAGGAGTAGAAACGTAGTCATTCTACAGTACTCGGGCTGCATGCGCTTAGGGTTACCGTCCCTAGGTGCCCTGTAAGTACTGCCCTTGGCACTTGGGGTTGCCTTCCACAAGTTCCTCGGGACCTGCCTCTGCTGGACCGTTTTACTGCTCGGTTTTTTGGCTACCCTGTGGGTGCTTGGGGGTTTTGTCTTCCTTGTTTACCTTAGGGTAAGAGGCAGTTTTGCACTGGTGCAGGGCGCAGGGTACTGTGTAGCTAGTTGTCACCATTCACAGAGGCCGGCTCTGTTCCTTGGGGTGCGTTATCCTCTTGAGGGGTTTTGTTTTTGTTTGTGTTTTGTCTTATGAGGGGTCTGCCTTGTTTCCCCCCTTTTCTGGGGGGAGCCCCTACGGCTCCCCGGTGCTATCCATGGCTGATATGGATACCCTAACCATTTTGCATCAGTCGATGTGGGTGGAGTTCTAGGCCTACCGGGGACCACGAGCCAGAACCTGGCCCCCTCAAAGAGGCACGGGGAGCAATGGCCCATAGAAATGCACATGTGATTTGGAGCATTCTATATCTGCCATCGACTGGGACAGGCACCCAGAAAGGTAAGCGCCACAAAACAAACCCCTATTCTGGTTAACAACAAAAATCGACAAACGAGTGGACAGAACTCCCCCAGGAAAACGAACTAACAAGCATGACGTCACACGAGCCGCGCCGCATGTCGGTGCAGCTCCCCCCTCCCCGGGAGGGAGAAGGGGGAGCCCCAGACCCCCGCGCCGGTGATCCCCGCCCCAGTTCCTCAGTTGATGGGATAATGCATGGTCGTGTGACTCCAGCTCCGGTCTTGTCTCAGTGCTGTGACTGGTTTGCAGTGCTGCTCTTACGGTGGTCGTGTGAGCTGGGAGTAGTATTCTCAGGTACTCGGGCTGCATGTGCTTAGGGTCACCTTCCCTGAGTGCCCTGTAAGTACCGCCCTTGGGGCTTGGGGTTGCCTTCCACAAGTCACCTTGGGTCTACCTCTGATGGCTTTTCACTGCTTGGCGCTTGGCCGCCCCGAGTGTTTGGGGGTTTTACTCCCTTGTTTACCTTGGGGTAAGTGGTAGTTATAGCACTGGTGGGGCGCAGGGTACTGCGTAGCTAGTTTTCACCTATGACAGCGGCCGGCTCTGTTCCTTCTGGGTACGTTGTCCACTTGTGTGGTTTTTCTTTTATATTTGTTTTTGCCTGGTAGGGGGGTCTGCCTTGTCCCCCCCCCTTATATTAGGTTCGTTTGTGTGGTGGCACCCCCTGCTTTGCCCTCACGAGTGGACACGTCTCGTGGGTTCAGCTTTAACAGTTTGCTTGGTAGTTTGGGGCGCCGGTTAGCAGTGCCCTGCCTGGGATAACCCTTAGCAGACCCAGTCTAGGGGCCCTGGGAAACCCCCTGGGGGCTCTCGGGTCCGATAGTGGAGACCCTTGCATCCCCTCTCGCTTCGTGCGAGTTGAGGATTGCTCTGTCCCTTTGCCTCAGGGTGACTCTCCTTGTTTTTGCCTCCGTCATGCTGCCTGTTGGGTCGGTGACACATTCGACCCTGAGTCCTGCGAGCTTTGTTGCTTGTTCGTGACTCCATTCACCCAGTCTGCTGATGAATTCCCGTGGGTGCAGGCAGCTCGCGCGTTGCAGGGTAGGTTGTTGCAATGCGCTCAGGTTTGTCACTTCCCCGGACATCCCGATGCTGCCCCGCTTGTGTAAGGACCCAGACTTGGGGGGTTTTGGTCGCTTCGGCCTTGGTTCTTCCACGCCCCCCTTGTTTTTCCCCCTCCTGCTTCCGGCCCCTACGCATCTGCAGGCTTCGGGGTAGGGGCGGGGTTAGAGGTTCTGAGACTTGGGCAGTTTCGGGGTTTGCCCCGTCCGGGGTAGCTGCGGAGGCATTCGAGTCTGTTCCTCTGGCCAATGCTCCGGGGTCTGACCAGTGGGCCCCTTCTCTTCCAGCTCTTGGCTGCCCGGCTTTTTCTTGTGGAGCCGGGGCTTTGGAGGTCGACTCTGCCCCGGGGCCTGGTATAGAGGCTCCTGGGGTTGGGAGGAGCGGCCTTGGGGGCCTTGGGCTCCATTGCGCCCCGCTTGGATTCCGTCCTTCTGAGCGGGGCTTACTGTTGCGAGGAGTGGGGTTTTCTTTCCCCCCTCTTCATACGATTTGGGCTTAGGTTCTGCTCCTCCCCGGGTTCGGTTCCGTGTCCCTGTGGTTTCTTCGGTTCTGTCTCCCGGAGGTTTTCAGCTAACCGCATCTCTTCGATTGCGGTGCGGTTGGCCTTTGCAGCTTACCTCCTGCGTGTCCCGGAGTTTACCTCCATACTGGTTCCTTCTGTTCTGGACAGGTTGGGCTCCTTGTAGCCATTTGGGCTCCTTTGTAGCCGTTTGCGCTCCTTGTCGCCGTTGGGCTCCTTGTCGCCGTTTGGGTTCCTTGTAGCAGTTTAGGCTACTGTCGCCAGTTGGGCTGCTTGTCGCCGGTTGGGCTGCTTGTCGCCTTGTTGGGCTGCTTGTCGCCTTGTTGGGCTACTGTCGCCAGTTGGGCTACTTGTCGCCCTGTTGGGCTACTTGTCGCCCTGTTGGGCTACTTTTCTTTCGCGTCCTGCACATGCGCCGTGGGAGTTTTATTTGGTTCCGGGCGGTGTGCACACGTGTTCTGCATCCATTTCTCTCGGGGGGGGGGAGGGGGGGGCTTCGCCTCTCGCTCTTTTCTTAATCTAATCCGTGCCCCGTTGCTTTGCCGGTGTTCTGGGGTTCCGCTGTGGGGAAGTCCCGAGGTTTTTCCCTGCGTTCTAGGGTGGGGAGCCTCCTTCGCCGCTCCCCTCCTCTCCAGCATGGGCGCCCTGGCCGCCTCCGGTGGCTACAGACTCGAACGCTTGCGTCATGGCCCTTCAGCGCCTATGTTCTGCAGGTGAGTTGGTGCGGTTTGGCGTCTCCTTCGTCCTGACGCTGTTTTTGTTTTTGGAAGTAGGAATGGGTGTACATATGTACTTGAGAACGTGAACCGTATCACCCGAGGTGCCTACTGCAGGGCTATTAGCCTATTCTGGGCAG